TTTGGGAAAACCCGAATGCTTTTGTCCACAGTCACATTTCCAATACAGAACTTGATATAGTCCAGTACTGATCCTGTGAAAGTTTCTAGGTTCTGGAATTGAAATATGTCCCAGTCTGTCTGTGTGAAGCAGTCCTGCAGTTTGGAGAGATCATTTTCAGGCCAGGTTGTAATGGTCTTTGTGGTGGGCTAGGCACTGCATCTGAGGGGGGTGTAGGGTGGGGGGAGCAGGAGGAAGAGGTTTTCGGACTGGCCGAGGTGGGGGGAGGGATGTGGCATGGAAACATTCTTAGCAAAAAAACTAGTTCAAGCACATTTTGTTCATACTACTGTACTATATTAGTACATCTGAGTTATTGTGAACCAAAGAAGTCTATACCAGCTGCATAAAACTGCTTACAGACCCATTTCTACACCTTTATCAGCACCACTTTCTCTGATTCACTTGTAAGTAAAGTTAAATGTGCTTGCACCTCTAGGGCAGGAAAGCAGAAGGGAGTCAGACTGAAGAAACTGAACAGTTGTGCTTGATTATATGATCTATCGCCCACTTAAACTATTATTTCTGTTCAGGAAAACACATAACTGTAATTTGGCATCTTAAAACATGGATAACAACAAAATGACAAAATATATTTTAGCAATAAAATTATCAGCTTGATTAAAGAGCTTGTACATCCTGGTGGATTAACAATTACAGAAACAAAAATCTCGATAATGATCAGTACTTTCACTTTAGGGTAGCTGTGGCATAAGCCCGATACTCCACGGTGCTCTACTAAATCTGGTAAGCATGTATGTATTCAGGTGTGGAAATATTGATGAATCACTAATTTATGAAACATTCATACACATGGTTTATGCACATACACATTGTAGATGGCAGACAGTTGGTGTCGTAAGCCCTGCCCTCCTTACAAAGATAGTCATAGCTGCTTCTTTCACTCCTCGTTCAAACCGTCTGTCTTCCCTGTCCAACATGTGAACATTGTCAAGGTGGCTGTTTGGTGTCTCCAGTATAGAGGTCTGAGCTCTCCTCGCTGCACTGCACAGCTACACTACATTGTTTAGTTTGTGTCTGAGTGTGTGGCTGGGCTAGAAGTACACTGGGAAGACACTCCTGGCGCAGAGAACTGAAGAAACTTCTTGGATGAGAGGTGAAACGTCTTCAAGGAACTTAAAGAAGTCCAGACGCTCTTCTTTCCAAGCTCCTTAGACTACGATGACCTGGATGACTGAGAACCTTCACAGACAAGACGCTCCCGAGTTTCTCTGATAAACCTGATACACGAGGGACGACAATGTTGTTCTGTTTGTCTTTCTTATCCTCCCTAACTGGTGTCTGACCTTCTCTCCTCTGCATCTTTGCTGACTTGATAAAAGCTCAATTATGATAACTGCATGTTTTAGGAGCTTAATTTACATGTGTGGATTCCCTCTTTTTCCCTTCAGGCTTAGAGGGAACATTTTCTGCCCGGAGTTGTTGTAGAGTCCTGATTGCTCCAAGTTTGTGTTCCAGAGGGTGGTGGGAGTCACACACAGGGAAAACCTGCAAACTCTTTACTGAAAGAACCTAATGCCACAGGTGCAATGCAGCAATAAAGAAACACAGCTTTTTCATTAAAAAACAAAAAAAACAAACATGCCTTTGTGTAATCTGAAAGAGCTGGACAAGCACAAAGCATCAAACTGGCAATCAGACTTCAGGTGTAGCAGCTATAAGTCTTATAGCCTGATTATTAGGGGTGTGGCAGGGGGATATAACTGTTAGCTGTCTTCTAGGCTTCGTTTTAACTCAATTAAACTTTATTAATACAGCGCCTAATCACAACAGGCACCTCAAGGCACCTTATACTGTAAGGTAGTAATAGGTACAGAAAAACCCAAATGTCATATGACCCTCTATGAGCAAGCACTTTGGTGACAGTGGGAAGGAAAAACTCCCTTTTAACAGGAAGAAACCTCCAGCAAGTAACTGATTGGAGTGCCATGTTTTTTTATACATGAAGAACTTTAATGGCCCTAGAACAGACTACTGAGGAACCTGAAATGTGATTGTATTCTGGAGCTTTTCCAGTAAACAGGAACTGCTGACTGGTCAATTAAAATTCTTATTATTCAGTTAAATTTGATATGGTGAAGGAATGAAGAGGGGGTGTTTTGTTTGTTTAATTTGGTTGG